AAGAAGAGACAAAGTGAACTCACCTGGGCTGCAACATGTGAGCTGCAAAGGCAAAAGAGTCTCTGTAACGAAGCCAGCTGGGGCGCAGGGCAGGGCAGAGCGTCCTGCTGTGTATTCATAGACAGCTGGAGCCAAGAGTCCACAAAATAAACTCTTTTTGGTTCGCATTGAACATTAGCCTCAGGAGAGCTGGGTAAGAATGAGCTCCCACTGCCACGAATCCAGCCAAGAGTCCATCTCTTCTATTATTTTGAAGTGGACTTATTCACCTATGTTATCCTACAGGAATTCCTTTCTGGAGAAAAAAAGCACATATAAATAGTTTGGACACTTTCATCCTTTTTTTTCTGGTCAAGCTCTCACTTTGATTACAAAACCTTCCCAGATCAAGGTTCTTCCAAGCTTCCTTAAATTGAACAGAGAGCTTGGAGACCTTCTGGCTACAAGCAAGTGACACTTGAAGCTTCCCAAAGCTGTTATCCTATGATGTTACCCTACCTAGAATCACAGTCTAGGAGTGAGTGGATTGAAAATGTCTGTGCTAACTAAGAATGACTGCACTGGATAAAGTCTAGGACTTCTAAGGTCCTTGTGGCCCTGTACTGAACAACCCTCTCCTGTGAATCTGCAGCCTGCAGCGATGACTTGTACATGGAAATGCATCCGTCTGGCGGAGCGGTGCCCCGGGCTGCTTTCAAACCTCCTTCCGAGCAACCAAGCAACTTTAATTTCCATTTGGTGCTAAATCACAGCCTGTGTGAAATAACTGTATTACAAAAAAAGCTCTTCTGCACTTGCTTTAACTCTGTCTTCAAAATGGGTACCTTCAGAAACCCACCTTAATGATGGGTTGATGTGAGCGCCGTTACCACCACAAAATTACAGTGGTGAAAGAAAATGTCTCTTGGACCACAGAAGTGTAAACATGACAGTGAAGTGCAAAAGCAAGCAGTGCAGCAGCCAGTTGTGAGGTTCTGTTGACAAGGGACATCTCAAAACATTTCTGGATCATCACTATCCTGCTTTTTTGAAAAGAACTCAAAGACAGACAAATTACATTCGAGCCTACACATTACTCAGTGTCCTGAACTGAAAGAATCTTCCAAAAAAGCTTTCCAGAACTGAAAGGCTTTTTTTTTTTTTTTTAAATAAGTTGATAATTATAATGATGGGCCTGCATTGACCATTAATTTGTGTTCGTGATAGGCTCAGCCCAGTACACTGCTCTAGATACCCTTGTTTGGCTTTCTTCTCATTGCTTAGTGCATACCTGAAGCAGCTTGCAGCCCAAGCCAGACCTTCTATACGAGCACAGAACAGAGTCACATCCCCAGGCAATTCAGTGATATAACATAGGAGAGAGACAGGTGAGGAAAGACACACAAGGGGAAAGGAGATTTGGCACCAAAACCTTGGCTCTGTGAGTATTTCCTGATTTTCCAAACTAGCATTGGTCTTTAGCCAGCATTTGAAGTTAACAGTCTTTTTCAAGAAAGAAATAAAATTTAGTAACTCAAGGCTTAAATAAACAAGCTTAAAGTTGATGCAATATTAAAAATCCAATCAGACATTTGTATTTAGGGGGAGGAACAGAGCTCAAGGTCTTGCAAACTACAAACACAGAGAAGAGATAGTGCTGAAAGGACTTTTTAATATTGTATTTGTTCTATTTTTTAAACACAAAAACCTGTGTTGTCACTTCTCAGCATATGTTTAACTTCCATTAACATTTCCCATGTTGCAGTATAGTTTCCCTCTTGTCTGTCATTTTTGGCTCTGCAGAATGGAGCAGAAGTCTTTCTCATTACTCAGTATCTACTCCTGCTAGAAATGCTAGGATTGGGTCTCCCACCCCAAACTTTACTTAAAAAGGAACTCTCATTACCACCTCCAATTCCTACTACTTTCTTAATATACAGCATTGCATACGCAGTATTTTCTTCATGCCAGCACTCATGGCAGAGCTGGGCTTGCACTCGCCTTCTTGCTACACTCAGATGGCCAAGGACCCAAGCCTGAGCTCCGAACTGCACCACGAGAGCAATTTATCCTCTTCATATTCAGACTGATAATTATTTCCTGGGTAGGGAGCACATGTTCTTTCACTGGCATTAACACAACTTCCTCCTTTCATCAAGGAGGATCAGTATCAATGAAGTGAATAAAGTTAAGGAAACAGCTAAGAATACATGAGGTGTCGCAGTTGTCCCAAGGCAAACCCTTCCCCTTTCGACATCCTACAGCCCCGTATTGCAGGGCTCATCCTTTCAGTGCAGGCAGGCTGTTGTTCTTCCCCTCCCGCACACACTGATGCTGTTCATGACGCAGGGGCAGCAGGACCCCAGGCTGGAGCCTTGGGCTGCTCCCAGCCCTTCCCGTGGTTGAAGGTGTCCTGCTGTTCACCCATGGCACAGCTGGCCAGGACAAACTGCCAACAAACCCCTAACCTGATGGGATTCAGGAGTGCATCCCAGATGATGAACGTGCCATAGCATGTTGGCAGGAGAGACGGGGATCCAAAACAATCTTCGTGCATTGAAGAAATGCACTGAAATAATGTGCAGTTTCAGTGGTAGTACTTTGAACATAAGCAGGAATAATCAAACTGGCAAATAACATTTTCACACATGATCTGGGTATTTCAGTTAATCAAAAATAGTAAGTTAAACGACAAAGTGAAGCAATGCAAAGAACGATCGCTACACTGGGACTTTTAAATGCAAGATTTCCATGTGCCATGGAGACCTCCCCTTCCATCCACTATCAGAAAGGATTTGTCTGCTCCTGCTATGCCCTGGGCACCACTGTTCAAGAGGAAGAACACGTGGCAAGAGAGCAGAGAACTGCAAAAATAACAAATGGTTTGTGTAGAAAACACTGCCTATTAAGAGAGATGGAAAGAATTACATTGGAATTGTGTAGCTTGCAGAAGACTGAAAAGACTGTGGATAGGCTTCCTTCAAAGAGAAAATGGATAAACGATTCTCCATGCACAGAGGGACAGAAAAAGTAGGAACAGGCTTAAGCCAGAGCAGGATGAAACAGTCCTCAGGGAGAAACCAAGCAAACAAAAAATCCATCAGCTGTAGGACACTAGTAGCACAAGGACACTTTTTACTGGTATTTTTATGTATGAATTAAATAATTGCCATTCTGTATGTTAGTAAATGCTTATATATATACAGAATAAGAATTCATTGAAGAAATTTTGTTGCATCTAGGCTATACACCCCACCAGGCCTCGGCAGAGGAGGAAATATAGAGAAGATCCATAATTTGTAAGATGTTTCTGCAAAATCTTTGGGAAAGACAAAAAAAAACACCCCTAAGATTACTACACTTAAAACACTACAAATTAATTCTGCAAGTTACTTACTTAGATTTTGTGTCCGGACAGGCGGGAGAAGGAAGAGGGAAGCTGTCGTTTCCAGGGTCATTTTGCAGTTTCCCATGCAGGTTGGCCACACAAGGCAGTTACTTTTCGCCCCCTAGTGTTTCTTTAAGAATAAATTACTATAAGACAGCCATGAAGTTGTTTTCTTTTTTGTAAAAAACCACCACAGAAAAGGCGGCTAGTTAGTCTAATATTTTAAATAATCTTAAAAAAGAAAATTTATAAGAGATTAGATGTCAAGCATGCTTATCAGCTTAACATTTGAAAGAGAAACTAAGGTGAATCCCATTTGGCCTGTAGAGAATGGCTTACAGATTGTACTTCTTTAACCCTGTGAACAGTACAGTATGAAAGACCAACATAATATCCCTTTAAGAACACATGTAAGTTTTAAGTGACATCATGGCTGTCACCTGATAATCTGAATTAGAATGCTTTATTTTGATAGAAAGCAACAGATCCACAAATAAATGTTCAGTAGTGTGTTAGATATGGTTGAACAACATAGATACTGAAAAGCAGCCTATTTTAGCTACTCCACTGGCTGAGTGCTAGTGCTGAGTTCCTAGTGCTTACACAAAAGTAGGAGATTTCCAACAAGTTTGGTACAGAAATCCACTGCTTGTCATCCTGGAACAGCTAAATAGAGTTGAGTGCTTTAACTAAATTATTGCAGCTTGAAAATAGGCAGAAAATAGTAATGAAACAGTTGAAGACTGAGGTGATGAAGGGCCAAGCTAGTTTACCTAGAAACTGGGCATTAAATGGGACCATTACTAAGGGAATCAATGATTGAAGAAGCAGCCCCCAAATTCCCACTTCTCTTAGGGCAGAGAAATGGTGAAGTTTTCTGGATCTACCTCAAAGTCTTCTCAAGCCCGCTCCAGGCTGGAATTTTTTAGTATTTCCCTGTTGCCTTTTATTAGATGCCCAGGTCTTTCCATAAAAGAGATTTCAAACACTACCATTCCACTGGTGTAAAACAAAATCAGCTCTCACACTTCTTCATAAGCAGCTAATGGAATAGGAGACTCTGCGTGCCCTCTCATCCCACCCACCTGGTCAGTTCTTGCTAGCAACACTCATTCCTGTGGGCTAAGCTCCACAAAAGCATTAAATTGGGGGAGTGGGGGAATAGCTGCGTCCTGCTGACGGAGGCAGCCCCATGGCAGATGCTCATGCCCTCCAAGGAAGGTGGGCTCCTTACCTACTACAGGGAATTTGTTCAGTTCTAAACAGCACAACATATTAGTGAAAACAACTGATCCTTCTAATAAAAAAGGAAAAAAAATAGGAAAGTCATTTGCAATGTAAGGCAATGTCCAAGACAGAAAGCTGCATTTCTGCCATTATTGGTTTAATATTATATGCACTTGACATATTTATATATATGTACTTGAGATCCTGTCATAAAGCTAATCTTCTCTTTTACTTTGCAGACCATGTTATTTCAAGGCAAAACATAGCAACCCTGGCAGGTAAATTGCCCAGTGTTGTGTGTCATTGGGTATCACCTCCCATTTAGTTTTCTATAAAAGCCATTACCTGGCAGTGATAAAGCAGCTTAGTGCATCCATTCCTTCCCTACTGGAACAAGGACAGCCTCATGGAGCCACTTGGGAGACTCATTCAACTGGATGCCAAAGGTATGTAAGCAGGCAAACCACAGTGTGCTACCTAAAGTTTTACTTACATGTAAGTTTGTTTTGTTTCTGTTTTTTCTCTTAGAATTTACATGAAATATGAGAAACAATGTCTTCTTTTTGTACCTTGGCCAAGAATAGCAGCAGTTCACCTTTTTTAGGATGTAAAGGAGGGAGATGAGAAGGAAGCTAAAAAAAAGTGTTAGGGAGGGAGAGAATGGCTGCAACTATTGCTCCTTTGTGCACTTAGAATAAACCTAATGGTTTAACTAGGCAATGCCACTCCTGAATGATTCTTCAGCGATTTTAAATCTTGAATCTATCTAAACTAACCAAGCTTTACACAGAGACAAGTCACACAGGACCTCCCTGAATTAGCCCCTCCATACAGGTAAGGGCCCTGGCTGAGCTTGAACATAAGTATTTCTTTTTTAAGGTCATTCTCCAATGTTTGCATTAATGAAGAGCTGTTGACAATTAAACGTTGCAACTGTGAAAATAAAATGTGTACCTTATTTCTAATATGAAAGGGCTTCGCTTCCAGTTAATTAATTTAAAATATTATTTTCTGAGGAAATTTGAAAATAGAATATGGTTTCTTAAAGACTTTAATAGGCAGAATGCACAAACAGCACTTCCCCTGGGAAAACGGTTCCATTTTCAGTCACATGTTGAAGTCTGCAGACAGCGACGCGTGGTAGGAATGTCCTTTGCTCTGCTGTTACTCAGGGAAGATGCAAAGAGGGAGAATCACACGCTGATAACTGTGGAGAGGAGCCCAGAAATGCCATTTATCTCCAATGCAGCAGACAGAAATCCAGTGCATTGGCCAGATGTCTTCCTAGATAAGTATCTTGAATACTACAAGGAGATTGTATCAGTGGCTTATGTAGACTCCCAATAAACTTTTTTTTGTTTAAATTGTAATCTGTAATCCTGAAAAGAAGGATTGTTGCCAGAAATAAAAGTCTAACTATTGAGAAATAGCCTGAGAAGTCGTTGCTGAAGTCACCATTCAATTATTCTGTGAAGTCATTGTGGATCATTGAAGCCACTGCTCCCTTTAAAAGAACCAGAATAAGGCCCGAGCTGAATGACTAGAAAAATTGCCTTTTTGGCTCCTCAAAACAGTTACCAGCATGCCTATCTGACACCAAGAAAATATAAAATTCCACCCATTCCTCTTGGGCCAGCGCTTTAGTCTGCACAGAAGGCAGCTCTGTATCATCTTCCCCTTAGCTCCTGTGTTATGGACAAAAGCACACCTGGCTTTACAGCTTCACAAAGGGATTCAGGGGACACCAGAAGAGAAACCTTCCAAGAGTTTTCCAGCAGGAAGAGCTGGAACAGCTCTTGGACAGTAAAAAGGTGGCATGGTAAATCATACCAGTATTGTCAAAAGCTTGCACATAAATCTTAAAAAAAAAAAAAAAAAGAGGGAAAAAAAGAAAGAAATAACAAAAAATTATTTCCTTTCAAAAATATTTTGAAGCCTAGTACCACCTGGGGTTTATTCTCACAGTGTGCAGAGAGGCCAACGCAACATCCCAGAGTGTTCCCTATAGCTTTGACCCTATAGCTTTACATTCCTTTGTTCCTTCGTCCAGCTACCATAACTTCAAGTATTTTATTTGATCTAGTAAAGGGTATGGTCTTTTCCTACAACACATGCCACACTGTCTATTTTGGAGTTAAAAAACACAGAATATGAGAGGCATTTAATTGCTGTTAAAGGTTAGTCTGAACCGTTTCTTTTCAGACCCCAAATAATGATGTCTGGCAAAGTTTTGTTAAGTTACTATTTTCAGACCCTTTCTTAGTGACAGAATAGCTGATAACAATCTGGAGCATTCTGCAAAAAGCCTCTGACTAGGAAAGCAGTTATGATTAGCTACAGCAAAGGCCTTATCAGGCACCCCTGGCTTGGGTGTTTTGTGGTCCCCGATCTCACAAGATCATTCCCTGACAAACTTCATCTGGCTACATTTACAGGTATTGATTATACTCATTAGTGCTATAGCCCTTAACCTTAGATTTTTTTTCTCTTTGTAACATCAATTTGAACAAAGCAAGAGACAAATGAAAATTAAAAACATTCCTCCTGCGAATGCATGGAAGGAGAGCAATAGAAACCTAAAGAAAAGGTCTGCCTTTGAACCTCTACCCTTTTGAGTTGCATCCAGAAATTTTCAATAATCAAAGAGAGAAATTCTAAAAATATAATTCCTTTTTCATCTTTTTTTCCTCAAAGCAAGTGAAAAGGACCAGGCCTTTAACAGGACATTACTGAAAGTAGCAGATGCCTAGCTTTTTATATCAGGTTCACAGCATCCTGAAGTTTTAGATCACAGAGGTATATCAAATCCAAATCTTTCCATAAAAGGGAAACTGTTCATTTAAATACGTTACACTTAAAACACTGAACGGTTTAGTCTTGAGGCATCATTGAGCCAATCCAGCACACAGTGCTTCCAGAGCTCTGGAGCACCCTTAGAAGCAAGTTTACTCCCTACGGAGACAATTTACGACTGTCACAAACTGCTCTCCAGTGCCAGAATCACATAGTTTCCTTTCTCAAGTGCCATTTCAATGGTAATATTGAAAATGTGCTTCCATCTTGTTCAATATTAAGGATTATTGGAAAAGACACGATTGTACTTAATAAAGAAACTGCTGCCACGTTTGGAGGACAGAAGGAAGTACCATCAGGATTTTGCCTCATCCACGTCGTTTCATGGAGTGCATAATATTGTCCAGACGCAGAGCAAGACACGCAGAGCGCTGTGGCTCTTGGTGGTCATGGGCTCCCTTGCCATCGTCTCTTGGCAAATCTGCAATCGCTTCATCTATTACTTCAGCTGGCCAACAACAACTTCAGTTCATGTTCAGTATGTGGAAAATGTTGAGTTTCCTGCTGTGACTTTTTGCAACTTGAACAGGTAACAGCTACTCCTCTTGGTCGCTTTTGAGAGGCAACAAGCCTTTATCTGACACCTCTAACACAGCCAGACCCCATAACTTCTTTAAGCAAATCACACAAAACGAGAAAAATGGGGCTTCAGGGGGTATGTATTCCACACCTCTGTGGAGCCACATTAACCAGGGGTGCTCCTTCTGCAGTGTGGCCATGGAACAGTCACAAAGTTAAAAGTCAAGATTTGCAGATAGAGAAGCTCAAATAGAAACCTCATACAAATGTAGAAGTGTAACAGAAACCAGCTTGCTTTTCCAGAGGTGCTCAGTTTAAAAGGAAAGTAGCAAGCACACTACCTGCTTTCTAGAGCAAGTACATAATCTAACAACAGTTTTAGAAGAGTAGTTTACTCACATTGTTTCATTAAGAGGGAGAAATTTTGTTAACACCCACCTTCTGCTGGCGGAATAAGCCAAAAGTCCAGGTTTTAAATACTCAGAGCCTTCCTGCTTCACTTTAATTCCTTCCAGTTGCCCTTCACAAAACCATCCAAGGGTTATGCTGCAGACCTGCCCCGCAGACTGTCTCTGCTGAGTAGAGTGGGCTGTGCATGATAGAAATCTCCCAGTTCTTGTGACTATAACTGCAGCGCATTGTAAGTAAACAGCAACCTGCTGAGCCTGGCAGCTGGCCACTGAAGTCACAGTTAGGTGACAAGTTTCTTCCACACCCATCTGTTCATGGCTTATTCTTTATTCCTGTTTTTAGCAGCGAGTTATTTGCTGACAGAACAACATGGAAGAGGCGCAGAGCTGCCTTTGCCTTCATCTTTTGGCTCCAATTCAGTTGCAAAGATCTGCTCCTGCTGATCTTCCTCAAGTTTCGGCATTAAGATCTATCATACAAAAACAATGATATGCTTTAAAAAAAAGAGAGAGAGAGAAACAAAAATGCAATGATATGCTAAAAGAAAAGAGAGAGAGAGAGAAAAAAACAAAAAAGCAATTTAAATAAAGAATGTGCTATTGTCATGTACATATATCCATATGTACACACCCATATATTTTTATTCATTTTTCAGCATTTTATTGAGTTTATTCGTTTTTCAGCATTTTGTGACCAAACGTATCATAACTGCACTGTACACCATTAATTTGTTTCACTAAGTGACTTTAATGCTCTGTGTCAGGAAAGCACCTCTAATACCTCATCATGGTTCTGAGATTTTCAAGTGGATCCTAGGAACAAGGGTCACCTTTGGTTTGTGCCACCGTGTTGCAGTGGGAGCTCGTGAGAGTTCTCTGCTACAGTGTGCAATGCCTTAGTAAACCAGGCACACACAAACACCACAAATTCACCAAGAAATCAGTTTGGTGATTGATGCAACACAGTCTTTTTTTCTTTCTTCCCCCCACCATCCTCTTCGAGGAACAGCCCTCCAAGCTCGTTTCCTGCACATCCATGCAATTGCTCCGCGTGCCCTCGGTTCTGCAAAGCCAGGCTTGGGCCGCTGCAGACGGCCAATCTGCATTAACAACCACACACAGCAGAAATGCTGCTCATATTACTGACCAGAACTGCCACAAGAAGGGGCCCTTCCTGGGTATAGAAAACTCTCCTTTAGTAGAAATGGAGGCTGCATTGGTTATTGGTGTTGTAGACATTGAAAATATTGTGGACAAGAATTAGATGTAGTCTAAGGACAGACAACAAGCAAATCATGTCATAATTTGGCAAAAAGCACTGGGATCAGTTCTATAACTCTGCAGAATTCTCTGTTCTTCCTGCTGACAGGTTTCAAGCTCATGCAGTAACCAACCTCCAAATTATCTATTTCCTTTGGAGCATCATGTCTGGAGTTTACCAGAAAGAGGCTATGCAAGAAAACTTTTCTCAAGAGCTAAACAAATTCCTTCTTGGCAACCAGAACTTTAGCATTAAAGAGTTCACAAGGGAACACGGGTTTTATCTCAACAGCAGCACATTGCTAGAATGTCAATTTTTTGGAAAGACGTGTTACCCAGAGGTAAATATTTTTCCTTTTACTAGAACAGTAGCACAGAGGGGAAAGGGGATATAGTGTCAGCACTCGACTTTACATAGCTAATTCGGCCAGCTACTCTCCTGGGTTCCCTTTGGAGAGATGGAGAGAAGAGCTCCTGCTCTAAACAAGCCTGCAGAGACTGCCTACTAAGGCTCCCTGGGCTGTAAATGGGGATTTCAATCTAAATTACTTTCTGCCTAAATACCCTTTCTGCATAAACATCAGCCTTTAAAAAAAGTGCAATGCCTCCAGGCTTTATCCGGCAGCATTTTCTATTCCATTCAGTTTGAATGGAATTTTTGCAAAACACAATTGCATAGTCGCACTCAGCTGAAGGAATCACTTTTTGTGTGGGTTCTGCATAGAGTTTCCCCAGCTGTTCTGGACTTAAATTTTAAGTATGGAAATGAATACAGCCCATTTTGGGAATTTTGGAAAATCATTGAAAAATATGATCCTCTCATTTTTATGTCAGTTCTTACATAAAATATTTTAGAACTCAAATAGAACAAGTAAACATTAAAAAAATCAGGTTTATATTGTTTTGGGTTAATCCAAACATGAAAACATGCTCTCCATTCTACAATTAGCCATTGATGAATTCGCTTAACTGAAAAGATACATTACCAACTAATGACTAAAACTTCAAAACAGGCAGATACACTTATAATAGAGAATTTTTCCGGTGAGTGACCAGGTGGTTTTCTGGCACAGAAATTTTATGTCCTGTATTTTCATTTATACTATGACAGTTTATTTTGAAGTTAAGTGTTTAGTAAACACTTAACTTAGAAGAAAAATTTGCTCCCCAATATATATCTTCTATATGAAACAGGTGTAATAAAACAAAATAGGACCTCACTGAATTGTGTAACAACCCATAGATATTAATAAACACTGAAATTCTCCTTTAGATTTCTATAGCTTCCTCTCCCCATAGGAAAGCATAAGTTCCTTTTGATAATTCCCATTAGTTAATGCTTTTCTAAATGTAATATTTAACACTTCCTTGGGGAATAAAACAGCCCATCTCTTGCACTGTGACTCAGTAATATAATTTTAAGCGATCTTGCTTTTATTTTAATCTTCCTTCTATTTCTTTCTGTGAAGGATTTTGAACATGTTTTCACTGAATACGGAAACTGCTTTACTTTTAATCACAACGATCTCCCGCAAAAGAGAAGAGTGACTCTTTCTGGACGAGGTTTAAGTTTACTTTTTGATGTTAAACAGGTACAGTCATCCTAATAATTATTTGCTGTGCTAATTTACAGATTAGTAGAATTGTACGCACACTTACAGAATTTCATGTGCACACTATTTCTTTCTGACTGAGAAGGGATTTTAGAGGAAAGATAAAACTGATTTAAAAATCTGAGATGACTGTTGATGCTGTCCTCAGCTAAATTATTCTGAAAACTATCAGTAATGCAACCCACGACTGAAACAGCATCTGTGTGAAATATAATGCAAGCCCTTCAGGGAACTAATGTTTAATTTTAAATGAAGGCTGAGTAGAGAAGATCCCATGGATAAAATTTCTACCTACCAAATGTTGGTTTCAGTAGCAGCTTGATGTCAGCATAGATCTGATCTTGGCCCTGTAGATATTTGATCAACAGAACACACAGACAACTCACGATACGCTACCTATGAGACTAGAGAAGAAAACTAAGAGTGGTAAAATGAGTGAGACATTCAGTTTGGCTCTTTAGGTAACATGAACAGAAGTGACAAGTCCTGGAGATGGTAGTGGAAAGGCTGCAGAAACAGGAGAGGTAGCTGCAAGTAAAAGGAGTAGTTCTCCAAGCTGTTAATCACTGTTGTACTGTGAATTCTTGTTGCTGAAGATGGAAGATAACAGGAGGAAAACAAAAAAAGCCAATGCTTTAGAACAGTTGGAAGAAAACCCAAATAGGGGTGCAACCAAGGAAATTCAGGTGATTTTGCTTTTACACCTTTCTCTAAATTGTCAAAGATACAGCTGGGGATTTAAAACCACATAAAAATGCGCTGCACCGATTTAAACAACAGTAAAGCTTTAGGTGATAAAAAGAATTATTTAAAATTGCTTTGGCTTTGTTTATCAGGAACAATTCATCGATGACCCCTCCCTGGGTTACATTGATGCTGGTATAACCTACGTTATCCATTCGCCCAAGGAGCTCCCGCGCTTCGACGGCCTGGGTCTATCCACGCCGGTGGGCATGCACGCGCAGGTGGCCATCCGCCAGCTCAAGGTAGGGCCTTCTCCGTCGAGCAGGCTTTGCCCTCTCCAATTCTGTTCTGAAGCATGATGGTGACTGAAAGGTTTGGAAGTTAAAATAGTCATGCCACAGCCGTTCTCGAGAATAATGTTTCCTCCAACTGTAGCCAAAATTACTGCTCTCTCTCTTTCCGGATAAAGTCAACCTCTCTTTTCTAAGATCTTACAATCTCACTGCCGTGTAGTGCTACAGGGATATCATTACAAGGATGCCACAACAGCTGTCCAATATCACAGTCTATTATTACTAATGTCATACCAGAAAAAGACAAGTTAGCACACTAGAGTCTAGACTGATCCTGTTATATGAAATCTAGAAAAATATCTAGAAAAGCAGGTTATCACTTTTGTTTTAGACAAAGAACATTTTCTCTAGAAGTGATAAAATACTCTTTTTACATTAAGACCATCAACCTCAAAATAATGCAAGTTTTCTCTGTTGCTATTCCCTTCATGAAAAACCCTAGTACATCTGAAAAATGTGCTTTTCATGCACTGCTTAAGACACGTAACTACCTTTCCTGCTTTTCCACAGGCCTATTCACACTCACTTAAGACTAGAATATAGAATCCCATTTTATCTTGTCCTGTTCAATCTGAAATCAACACATATGTATTCTCAAATGTGGGGGAACACAGAAGTATTTTCAGAAGGAATATATTTGTTCTCTGTATTTAATTCTCTTCTCAGTTCCAGAATCAAGCTTGCTGAACTGTTTTATGAGTATTAGCGATGAGGCTCATTCTAGACACCAGGACTTTGAAGTTCTACATGCAAGCTAAAGTGAGCTCTGCTTCCTTGTCAAAACCTATAGAGGTGGATTACCCTCATGAACAAGGCTAACTCATAAGCTATTTCTGCCATATTAAAGAGGAAATTCTTTTTAAAATAACTCCAAAAGTACGAACTATAATTGCATCCAATTAAATCAACAACATTTTTGCTTACGATACAAACAAGCTTCCTCTAGCACTTCAAAATATGAAAAAAGAAAGAGAGACAAAAGATATATCTTCTTTTACTACTATCCTACAGACAATTATTCAAGAATACCCATGGGGAGAGTGCAAACCTGACATGAAACTTCAGCACCACAAGGTTTATAGCACTTTTGGATGCTTGCAGGAGTGCAAGGCCCGGTACGTACAGGATTGGTGTGGCTGTCTACCGTTCACTCTTCCAGGTATTACTCCAGAATATCATATTAACATACGCTGTATTTAAAGGTTATCTTGCTAGCAGACCTTGCTCATGTTTTAGCAGCAAGCAAAAAGGGGCAGATTCTTGAGTAGTGTCTATAGGTAAGATTGATTTAGTTTTACAGGGATACAGTATCTAAATTTATTTTAAATTAAATAAGCCTGTCATTTTATTTTAGTTTGAGAAAACAAATAAGACATTTTGTGAGCTCTAAGAGTAGGGCCTGATCATTAGCTGTTCTTATGATACAAAAATCTTAAATAAATAAAAGATTGTGCTTCAGGGCTGGGAGAAAAACCTCTATGAGGTCTGTCTTGACCTCCTAAAGATATAGAACTAAACCCATTAAAAAAAACCCCACAGATTTCTTATTTTCTGTGGGACAACACTAACCTTTTAGGTGGTCGGCAGCCAGGGCAGAATTCACTGGCCAAAGCAGGAGAACTTGGTTCCCTACCCAAACAAGGGACAAAGTCCGGTACCTGCAAGGGGGCCCTGCGAAAGCCGACAGGGCCGTGGGAAACACTGAGGACAGATGTGTGCCATAATCCCCCCTCTTGAATCCCCCAGGGCACCCAAATTGCTCTAGAAATGTAAGGAATAGCCCAGACTAGTGCCCTTGCTTTCCAGCAGAAAAAGTAATAACAGGGCTACTCCCTGTGAAGCAAGAACTAGAACTCCAAACTCGGCTCTCACAGCTGTTTTTTAAAATATGAATATATATATATACACATATAAGCAGCTCAGCAGAACCAAAAGCACCCAGAGAAGAAGGCAGACCTTAGCCTTAACCCCTTCGTCAGCAAAATCAGCTGTGGGGACTTGAAAGCATGCAGTAACTGACAACATAGTGTCATTTAAAATCAATATTCTGGGTAAAAGACATTTTTTGCAGACATTTGAAGAAGTCTCTGAGCTTTCACTTTTAGAATATTTTTAGAATAGCCTCCCACCATAGAGAAAATGTCATTAAAAGAGTTTGAACAGAAAGTGGATTAACTGTTCCTGTTTAATGCTGCAGCTAGAAGGAAATGACAAAGGAATAACTCATGCATGTTATTGAACATTCTTTTTAATATCTTCTTAACGTCAGCTCTATATATAAAAGAATCTAAGTGCAAAGTATAAGCTAGTGTATGAGTGATAATATATAATCATTGCCCAAACCTGCTATTCACGAATTCTGATATTTTTGGAGACACTAAATATTCCTTAACGTTCCTTAAATGTGATTCCTCAATTCCTTAAATATTCCTTAAATTGTGCTACAGTTCACTATTATCTCCATTAGTCAGTCTAATAAATGGCCTGACCTAACTGTAGGCACTTCATTAGGAATTTGACTGTGTAGATTTGTACATTTGTTTGTAGAGATATTTCAGGTGATTTATTCTAAAAACAAGCTTTCCTGGTATACAGGCAAGCCTAATTCTTTTGCAAAATGTTTAAGGATAGTGACTATTTTCAGAATGGTGCTGATGATGTGCTTGTAAGGAAACAGAGAGCCTATCATTTAAAGGAACTCCTTTGGCAGATATCTTGGCACTTCCAAAAGGCCAAGCAATATTCCCAGGCAAGGAGACAATCTGCGCTGAAAACAGACCATCTGAAGCCCCAAACTTTGCACTGGGGTGCAGTCTTAGCTGTGACATCTCCAAGTCTTGCACAAAGGTCTGAACTACCCCTGAAACCCACGCAGTGAAATTCTGTAGACCAGCTCCCTACCTTATTGTTTATTTCCATAAGGAAAGACAGAAATTCCTGGCCAGAGCAAGCTAACACCAAGAGTGAGCCACCAGCTTAAAAGAAGCTTTTGGCTGGTGCGTATAATAAAGATATTTACTCCAGCAAAAAGCCTCGTGGTTCGTTCTGTTGTATTTCCACATACATACCCCCTTTTTGGCATTTGTAACTATTGTGCTACTTTGAACCCTTTTCTCACTCAAAAAAAAAGAAGCATGAAGTAAGATGCAGACTTTGATGGCTTTACTCTTCAGTTTAGCCAAGTAGAGCTAGGAGCTAAGATTGTTAATTTATGCTCCTGAATTTATCTGTTTATTTTTAAGGAAATGGAACAGAATGCAATATACAGAAGTTTTACGCTTGTGTTTATCCTGCACTCTGTAAGTAATAATTTCATATTCATATTTACTATGCCAATTCCAAACAGCAGAAATTCTCTCTCAATTAAAACCAAACACTGAAATCTGTGCTGAAATGAAGCACGTCACATTTAATTTAGAATTCTGAAAACAGACCGAACCAGGCACTGAGTAAGTGCCTGTTAAAAACAGATAATAACTTGTGTTAGTCAAACAGTTCAAAACTGAAGCATGTAGAATTAATTTTCGCTAATCAAGAGTCTTGCTTGCGTTTTTGAACCTTCATGGTGTCATCCTTCTAGCTCCAATGCTCATTCTATTCTTTTTGTTCAAGAGAGAACTATGAAGAGCACAGTAGTAAGATTTGCTACCTTGTGGGGATAAAAATTAACTTAAAACCCCTGCACTTTAAGGTTTTTCTTTTTAAATGTTAAAACAGATTATATGTTTTCAAAATTCTATAGATGCAGTTCATTTCATAGGCTTTCTGGAAAATACTGAAAATGATAAATGAATGCTTAAGGAAAACAAGATGATTAACATTGGTGTGTGGGTTTGGGTTTTTTTTTGGCGGGTGGGGTGGTATTATGTCTATGCAATATGTTCAAGCAAGACGTTACTATGGACAGTTATTGTTTTTTTCCCCTCAGGCCTGTGCTAGAATAACAAATTCCATTAAGTTCACAGCCTTCTATAATCTCGAGCTTTGATAGTGTGCCGTGGTAGGAATAGGTATATTCCTTAACGGATATTCTGGGACCAAGTTCCGCAGAAACCACTGAGTAACGGAGCAAAAGGCGCCCCGAGGCGATGCCGAGGGTGACAGGACATGCACCCAGGGCTGGACGCGGCGGGTCGCGGTGGGTGACGGCGCTGCGCCCGCCTGCCGGGCACCACGGCCCCTTCCGCGGGGCAGCCCAGGGTGAAGGAGAGAGGCCTGCAGGTGCTTAGAGCGGTTATCGCGGGCTACGAGACCTGTCACCCGGGTGGAAAGCCCGCAGCCGTGATGACATCCATCGCGGAGCAATGGGAAGCTGCGGGGCTTCCTCAGCTCTGGGGCTTCCTCAGCTTTGGGGCTTCCTCAGCTTTGGGGTCCGGCTCCTGCTGCGGGAACCTCCAGGAAAGAGGCTTCCCACAGAGCACAGAGATCCCAGGCCTTACCGTTATGCACCCGTTTCCCAAATGCCCATTACAAATATTCATTTATTCACATTTCTAAGGATAGCTTGCCCCATGTATTTATTAGAGTATCTTAAAAATCATTCTAGAAGTCTCAAAAAATGCCTCAAACGTGCATTTTCAGAAATACCGCATACGATTTTTCTCCTGACATTTCAGATGAAATAGAGCTGAATGGATTATGCACAGCAGGAACCCACAACTCCACTTGCCCTGTCCCATGTGAAGAAACAGATTATCCTACCACTGTCACCTACTCAAGTTTTGCAGGAGAAAAAGCCATAAAATTCATTTCTGCAAAGCTGAAGAAAACCCCAGAATACATCAGGTAATCTCACTTAATGCTATGCCTATTAAAGAATAGGATCAATTGCTTTTAAATGTACTTGTCAATGCCATAAAACAGACACCCCCATTAAAGAAAAATAGTGTTCTCAATTAGATTCCCTGTCCCTGATCTCTTAAAACATAATAAGAGTAGGTTATCAGATACCCACAATCCACTTGAGCAATCCATCCAGTAGACAGGACTTGAGACCTTTAACTCTTTCACAACCAAAGCCAGCAAACAACCCGGATCAGGGAATACATGAACAGGGAATATATTAAGATTATGAAAATGAAACCCATAATTATACTGAAAAAATAAGCCTTTGAGAACATTTTAGCATTAGTGATTATTTTACTGTCTGCAAACATTGTGCACAAGCCAGAAGTTATTCAATTAAGCAAGCAAAAATAAGAACATTCTTCCGTTACTAAGTTTTACCCAATAGGAATCATGCCAACATATTAATGAGTCCATAATCCCAACTTTAAAACGTGGAGACCTATTGATTTCTGAAAATGTAAAAGGGAAAAGTTAACTATTTACCAATTTACTGGAGTTGCTAGTGGTGCGATCATTATAACAGTAAGAAACTTTATTATTAATAGAATCTATTAAAATAGGCTAAATAGGCTTGGTGATGGCTATCAACAGGACAAGGGGTAACGGGCACAAGTTGAACCCCAGGCAGCTCCATCTCCACGTGAGGAAGAACTTCCTTGGTGTGAGGGTGCCCGAGCCCTGGCACAGGCTGCCCAGAGAGGCTGTGGAGGCTCCTGCTCTGGAGATCTCCAACCCGCCTGGATGGACCCTGTGCCCCTGCTCTGGGTGTCCCTGTGGAGCAGGGGCTGCACTGGGGGATCTCCAGAGGTCCCTGCCAACCTCAGCCATTTTGTGATTACCTGAATTTTAGATTTTTCACATAAAGAGATGAAAGTGATGAATCTCTATGGCAAATAACAGTATTTGCCAAAAATTAACATGCTTATTTTTTTCCAACTCAATCTGTATCTATTAACACTACTGAAAAATAATCACTTCCTTTACTCTTCAATTTTGTGAAAACAGTTTCTGTGGCTGTTTTACCCCACAATGGTTATGTTTATTTTCTATTCAATGGCTATGCAGATTCCTAAAGATAAGCTCTCTATTCCCCTGAATAATTCCACAGGTCTTGCTTCAACAGAGATTTACATTCTCTTCTATTTTGCAGCCTGCGAGAATAAAATTGGGTAAGAAAGGCTCTTGGCAGGAGACAAAGCTAAACGTCTGAGCACAGGACAAAGGTCTCCTGCATTGGGCCCCATTGACATCAGCAGGATGGAGCGTGCACTTGCCCAGGATCCAGGGTGCTGGGCGCTGCACCAAAGGCATGGCCAGCACCCAACCTGCCCTGGTTCAGACTGCGTAACCTTCCACTCCAGCTTCCTTAAGACCCTGGAAATGCTGGAGTTCAACCACACCGAGGCACAAAACCCAAAGATCTGCTCCTCCTTTTATAAGTTACCAGCACATTTTCTTCAGCCCTCTGATTTCTTGCAGATTTAATCTCAATAAAAGACACCACGGCACTCCTTGAACTCACTCCATCCTAATAGGAGATAAATACGAACAGCCAACCTGACTGTCTTGAGTAAGACTGTGTGTATTTGTCATTAGGGAGAATCTTGTGCATATTGACATTAAATATAACGATCTGAACTACAAAACAACACAGCAGCAGAAGGCCTTGACTGTAGCCGAGTTGCTTGGTAAGCGAGTGTTATTTAATATTTGTTTATTGTTGATTAATAATTAAACCAAAAATAATCCTGCTTCCCACCCCCAGTCATGGGCTAGCTGGGTTTCTAAACAAAAGGCAGTGCCTTTTATATTCTAATGGCAACGACCACACACTGGTTGCACACTCCATTTCGAAAGGCTCCTGCTATTCCAGTAAATGACTTGCACCATGGACGACGGTGGAGATTTTGCACTCATTTGTGGCTATACAACACATAGAACTGCAACAGTAGTGAGGCATAAAGGATTTGGAGGCAAAAGGGAAAAAGGGGGAGGAGAAGCAAGGAAAAGGCTGAAAACACATGGAAGTAGGAAATGTTTTATGCACATGCTCCACAGCAGAATTTCTTGCATTGTACTTGTTTTTGGTTTGTTATTTTAGAATCTTCATTGAAATGTTAATCTTCTCCCATAAACATTCTTAAGCATATTAACTCTATCTTCTCAAAGTGATGAATTATGCACATTTATTTAGCTCTTGAACGCAGCAGAGCTTTGTTGGCCTGCTAGACTAACCCGGATGCTCAGGGTGACATGTGTTTATTTCCTGCTGTTGCAGCTGATGTCGGTGGCCAGCTCGGGCTGTTCTGTGGTGCCAGCATGATCACAATCATAGAGCTGCTCGAGTATATCCTGACCAACTTCTGCTGGATGTGCATCTTTCTGCTGCTGAAGGCACCTGAAATGCCTCAGTGGAATCTTCCGTCTCAAGAGCAGCCAACGCACAAGGAAGAAACGAAGGGAATACAGGAATGTTAGGGACTTGCACAAAACTAAGTGTTTTCGCAACTGCCTTTCCTTTTTTTAAGGAGCAAAAGGAGACAGTAATATCTTTTACTGTGGCCATTCCTACATCTCTTACCTTTCCTGTTTCTTATTGCCTTGCACTATTTGTCTCTGTTAAATAACCTTCAAGAGCGAAACTTTGCAAAGTCTCACTTTCTCTCAAAGAAAAATGTAATCTTTATCTAAAATTGTTTTAAAAGTACTAATTTTTTTTATAGTAGCATAAGAAGTGATACTGACAGAAAATGCAATGTTTTCTCTTTGACCTAGTTTAAAACTTCTGCATTTTGAGCAAGGAGAAATAATTCATGTTAACATACATGTTAGCATAAATGACACATTCCTTAACCTCCAATAAAGGTGCAGAATTGCCATAATTAAAAAAAAGCAAATACCATATAAAGTCATAAAGTTTTTGCTACCTGTGCACCATATGCAAATGTTCCAGTGAAGAATATTGTAGCTTGAATTTCCAGAACTACAAGTGTGCTCTGCCTGAAATACATCCCCATTCCACCACCAAAAAGAAAGAAAGAAAGAAAGAAAAAAAAAAAAGACACACTCATGAGTCTGCCTACTACTATAAATCCAAAACTGAGACACCCAAAGCATCTGGGTGGACCAGGCAGGAGGGCAAACACAGCCCAAACTCACACTGTTGGAGTCCAGAGAGAAAACAGACCTGCCTGGATGGCTGAAATGTTATTAAGGCAACGAAGATACTGACCTCACTACTTATAAATATCCTGTTGACCGCGTTTTTCTTT